TGACTCGAGCGTCTCGATTGACCTGCAGACAAGGGATACGAAGGCTGAGCGTGGGGAAACTGCAGACCCTGGCAACAACCATGGCCAAGCAGACCCCCATAACCCTGAAATAGTTCTATTTCTCATGGGGTACCAAACGGTCGGGTCGCTGCGTCCAATAAGAGTTGGTACTTGACTTACACCTAGGTTCCAACAACAAACAACGTGCATAACACCGCGCCAAAAACTACCAACAAACAAGAGACCTCACCAAATCTTCACCAGAGGCGCACTCCCTTGAATCGATTCCCCGTATCTCCGTTGTGGCGTGCTCGTCTTTCCGGGGTTCCAGGATGCCCGCCTACCGCGAATCCCTTCGAGGTTTCTTTTCATTCGCACTTCAAAAAGTCGCAAACATCCTCTAAGCCAGTCATGGCTCTGAACACAGTTTGCTGTAGGATGCAAACAGCGGACCGCTTTGTAACTTTCCAGCCATCTTTGATTCAACCATGTCTCTCGGGTCGCTGACCACCATCTTTTTCCCAGCACCGACCTGCATCAGCCCAGATCGGTACTGGCTTGAAGAACGGGACGGCCAGTCATATGTGCAGCAAGGCCCGCCATTGACGCAGGCGTCAGATTGCTTCCCGTATGGGTTCACACCTGTTCCTGCATCGTACTACTCGCCTGGGGTGTGTCCCTCCGGCTACACCGCGGCCTGTCTAATCACACTCTCCGGAGATGGGGGAAAGATCAAGCAGAATATCTGCTATTCAAAGTAAGCTTCTTCTATGTGTTTGCTATGTTTTGTTTGACTGCAACAATCTGGTTCAGTTGCTAACGGGTGCGACAACAAGTGTTGGCGAGTATTTTTGTGCCTCTGAAAGTGCCACGGAATACAGTGGACAGCCGTTGCTTTCAACGTTTGGCTGTTGCTCAGGCATTACCTCTGCAGCTACCGTTGCTGTTACACAGTCTCAGTCACAAAACAGCATCATCACAACTTTGGTTCTTTCGACAGGGATAATCGGTGCATATGCTGTCAATGTTCGTTCTGAAAATACCAATGACGGACTGCCATTCGAAACCGTAGGTGAATTTCAGGTTTTTGTTCATGTTCAAGAGAGCCCGCGGCTAAAATAAAGCTGTAGGGGTCTCTCTCAAAACACCAACCACCCATAACGGCCCCCTCAATCTCTAAAGCACAAGGTTTGGACCAAGGAAGGATAGCCGCTGGGCGCCGCGGCAGGTATTGGGGTTGGAGCCGGAATTGGTGCTATCTTGTTAGCGGCTGGCATTTTCTTTCTTATACGCAGGATACGGGCAAGGTATCAGGCGCCGAAACAACATTACGTGGATACGCGTTATCCTCCAGTGTTTTCCACATGGAAAAGCTTGGAGCTTAGAAGGCCCGAGCTGCATGCGAATCAAATTATGCGTGCTACAATGGAGTTCCCCAGCACGCATGGACAGCGACCGCAAGCGCCCATGAGCGCGTATCTGAGAGATACCGCCGCAGCCCCAGACTCTCCCACGATCCCTCCAAGCCTATTGCGAGGACTCCAGGGAGTCAATGTTGTATAGCGGACAGTGTCGGTGAAAGCCAATGATATTATACAAATCTCACCAATAATCTCTGTCCAGTTCAGCCCATCAGGCAATCGAACCCTGATATGCACTGATGGTTACGTCCCGTCTACAACGGATGGATGCCGAATAAGCAATTAAATCCCTGTAACCCATTTCCATACAACAGCTTCTTAGAACATAGTAAAAGAGCACTCTGAGTCAATGGATTCTAGAAGACTCACGTGCCATGCCTGATCGCAATCCTGGACCTTTGACTGTCAGAGATCTAGGATCTACCGAGATGAATAGACAGGGCGTCTCGTGACTTGCCCATCACAAACCCAATTCGACGAAGATTGCAAGATCTCCCTAAAAGAGCCTAGTATGATGATTCAGCAACCGCCATCGAGATGATGACATGAATCTGTATGCATGCACACTCTATTACACGATCCGAACTTTGCGAAACTGTAAAATTTCCCTACCGGCAGTAGCTAGCTGCACGCTGAGCTGTTCCGGCGCCGGACCCATTGGCCGAGCGCCGAAAGTCAGATGGTGAGCTTTACCAAAACCTTGAAGATAGGGAAACCGGATAAACGGGCATCTGATTCTGTACACCTATTCGACCTATATAGGCAAGGGTTGATGTGAGCTGTTCGGACTTTGTGCCCACATAACTCTGAACCAATGTGCCGCCAAACTTGCTGTTCTAGTCATTCCGTGGTTGGCTGTTAAACTAAACCGGCAGTAACGAGTGCCATCACCGTTTCGAGACTCGGTGTCAGAAGCACGGACGAACCTGAGGGACGTCCGGCTACCAAAGTCTAACAATTTCTCAACATCCGGCATGCGTAGTGTCTCGTTTCTGTTGACTGACATGACGTCTGTGCTGAGTACAGAATTCCGGAGCACGATAAGCTTCCCTAGTGTGCAAACTCACGGACGGACGTGGCAGAATATGCACAAAGGCTGTTATCGGCTGAGGCGCGCTGGCGGTTCCCCGCTGACTGGACCAAGACCGGGCTGAGATGTTAAATCTTCCATCGCAGTTGCTTATGTCGCAATTTTGTGTGAAGAACATGTCGGAATCTTGAGGTGCATTCTACTGTCTCCCTGGCTTGTGATTGATCCTTTCTCATTGAGCTCGGGATACATATACGACACCTCCAAGATGCCGAATCCGGAAGATTATGATCTGGAGATCGAGGACCGACCGAAGCGCAATTCCAGAATGATTGAAGAGTTCGAGAAGTTCGACGAGATTGGGACGAGCATCGGCGTGATTGAGCAGCCGGGATGGTCGAGAACCGACTCGCTGAAGAGTGAGCATGATGGATCGTCGGTTGAGAAGAGGGTCTTCGACCGGAAGCTGCTCTACAAGCTCGACTGGCACTTGATGATCGCTATGTTCTTCCTTAATTTTCTCTCCCTGATGGGTCGGACGAATGTCGGCGCAGCCCTCATTCGACAGCTGCCACAGGATCTGAAGCTGGACGCGATGAAGGTCTTCGTCGTTCTGACCATGCCAGCGGCGCCACTGATTCTCTTTGAAGTACCAAGCAATCTTCTCATGCGATGGCTGGATCGCAAAATCAACTTCTCATACATGTGGTACATGTGTCTTCTGGACTTGCTCCTTGGTCAGTCAGATTCTCATTTCCCTGTTTATTGCCGTTTCTAACTACGTCGAAGGTGTCATTACGATTGCGCAAGGCTTCGTCAAGAATTACGACCAGATCATTGTCACGCGATTCTTCGTCGGTGTTTTTGACGCAGGACTCATTCCCGGATGCGTATTCATTTGCTCGCTCTACTATCCAGCTAAGCACCTTCAATGGCGGCTCGGCCTGATTACCGTCGCAAACATATGCTCGAGCATTGTGGGTAACTTTCTTGCGTACGCGATCGCCAACATCAAGACGACGAACAACTTCAATGGATGGAGATGGTAAGTGGTTTGTCCATGTCATCATCAGACCTCCTTGCTCATTCAATTAGGATCTTCATCATCGAAGGAAGCTTCACAGCCGCGGCCGCTCTACTCTGTGCTTTCGCGAATGTCGGACCGCCTCAAAAGGCCAAGTTCCTCACGGAGGAAGAGAAAAGAATCATCGAGGCATCGGTCGAGACCCGCACCACCCAGATCGGCATATGGGCTGAATGGAAGATGTTCTTCCTGAATCCACTCAACTACTGCTGGGCCACGCTTTATTGCTTCACCACTACTACCGCGTATTCAGTCTCAATTTTTTCGCCATCTTTTGTAAAGTCGTTTCATCCCGAACTTAGCGCCGCCGACATTCAGGCCCAGATCGTACCCATCTTCGTTGTCGCGGCTGTTGCATGTCTTGCAACTGCTTTCGCAGCTGACCGTCTCAACCATCGGTCAGCTTTTGGCCTTGTTGGGTTCGTCTTCACGATCATTGGCTACGCGGTCTTGCGCAAGGCGCAGCACGAAAGTTCAAGTGTTACCATGATGGCTCTTTACTTCATCGCCTTTGGTACCTTCATCACACTCCCCATGATCTGGATCTTGACCATACAAAACCTACAAACACCGTTCCAACGCGCTATCGGAAGTGGCTTTGTAGTTGGAGTGGGCAATACCTCAAGCTACATCTCTGCATGGATCTTCAAGACGAGCGATGGACCGTACTACGAGAGAGGGATGACGATTAGCATGATTTTGGTTATCATTGCATTCTGCATTTTATCCGCGACGTGGACGTTCATTGTCGCCCACAACAAGAGACTGGATATGAAGCAGCACATCAACAGCAACTTTTCAGCAAGGAAAGCCAACAGTGAGTGGAGGTACAAGGTATAAAGTGGATGTTTTGATGTCCCTCAGACGACGTCTTCCCGTCTCTGCATTAGTAATTAGATTTTTAATGAGCTTCAATTCCTTACAAATTCATGCCGTGAATGTTTCCTATAGGTCTCAGGAGATGTGTAGTCTTGATGTCGACCAGTTGATTTAACAGGCATACAACACGAACGACACTGAGCAGCGAAACAGGTTGTGCATACTGTTTCTTCAAGTCTGTTCAAGTCTGAAGAGCTGGTTCATGGTTGAACTAAGGGGATGGGTTCCAAGGACGCCCATTATCCACTGGGTGAAAGCAGTTATTTCAACAATTGCCCAGGCCTGGACAAATTTGCACTATGTGAGCATGATATGGCCAGACGTAGAACACACCCTTGTTCTGGTTATTCTTATCTCACCTAGCTGGCCTGGGTTTGACAACACGAAATCAATGTCACCACAAAAGTCTGAGTACAGACACATCAAAGTGAAGTAGCATAAGGTAGCTTAGATTCAATGTTTATGTGCTAAGGTATGTTATTTAAACAAGAAATAGCCCATAATATGTGACTTGATATCCAGAACAAGAACCACACGTTGCCCTCACCTACCACTGGCGAGGTCTGTAGGGATCTGAATACAGCACTTACTTGCTGCCATCAGCCCCAGCAGCAACACAGGCACTCGCAAAGCCGTCGCCATCAAGTTGTTTGCTCGGAGAGTTGCAGACACGGTGCCCGTCGTTGTCACCGAGCGTACAGTCCGAACAGAAAGTAGGGCAGACTTTGTTGGTAACGTCGTCGTTCTGTATCTCCTGTTAGCTTATCATTTATTGAGAAAATCGACCTCTTAATGACTTACCGGGAACGAAAAGATGAATTGCCCGGAGCCACTAGCGTTGGTGCAATAGAGTTGAGTGTGCTTCTTGGCGGCAACGCTAAATAGTGGCAATTAGCTACGTACAGCAATGGAGCAAGCTGGTGAATAGTTCTATGAGAAATAGCAGGGGGCTTGGGAGCAAAGCTTGTGCCAGTGATGATGATTGAGGAAGCAGTCGCATACCTTGTAGCAGCTGCGAGGAAAAGAACGGCGAAGGTGGTAGAGAACTGCATTTTTGTTTGAGTTTCTTTGAAGCGACTGGTGGAATCGAGTGATTGAAGAGACTGGTTGAAGCGACTGTTTGGGATGTGAGAGGCTGTTGATGGTTCAGGAGAGCTCTAAAGAAGGGCATTCTCAGCTCCTAAATACTGGTCATGCTCTTCGAACATCATTAAGCCGTTGGATTGAAATATTTGGGAAATGATGGCACATGAGGTTGCGGTAAGGCTGAACATCGAGAACACTGACATTTCGTGCAAGAATTGGCATGATAGGCGTGAGGAGCGAAAGCGAGAGCGATGGACGGAGCCACAATCGACGGCTCCCGTTGGGGCTGGTTCAGTCCCACTCGCATCACGGCCACCATGGTTTCAAATACTGGGGATCACACCGAATTTCTTGCTACGTGACTCGCATAAAGTCCACCGCACATTCTCTAGTCCCAAATCCTATCGGTAAAGATGTGCTGTATCTCACAATTGTACGGCTGATGTCCCCTGTAAACTGGCGGGCATTCGGACTTAGCAGCTGACACCCGAGCTCAATCAATTATTTCACACTTTCACGGTGTTTTGCAGCTCAGCCGCTCCCAGGACAACGCATACGCTATTTTTCTGCTTCTTCTCCCTCCGGATGCGAAGCCGGTTGCGAAGACACGTATGGGTCTACCGGTGGATTCATCGGAGTTCATTAAGACTCCAGTCGCGAAAACATTCGCGCTACGTAATGATCCACGGATTTCTTGCGAACGGTTTCTCAGCTGTAATCACAACATCTATGATTCATCCTTCTCTCCGTTAGTCACGGGGGCCCCTTCCGTCCGACTATGAACTCCCCCGATATGGCTTGTTGACGCGTGGCGACGTTGCTATCCCATCTTAATATTGTCAAGATAGCGGCTCTTAACCCTTCTGTGCTACCCTCTGCCGGCTTCTCGGAACACTAGTCTCCAGGCTAAGGTCCACTTACGCCTGTCAAATTAATTGATCTCCAAACCTTATTGTTGTGCTCTTCAGCCTTACAACGTGGCTTCATTGAGCACAAGATGTGGCGAAGCAGCATTACGTTCATAGTAACGAGTCATACTGGATCACGCTTTGGGCAGTCTGGCGGGCCAATTGTGGGTGCAACGTCATCGCCCTGATTATCATAATCTCTGCGACCCAATACGGTTTCATTTCAGCGCATGGAAATCTTAAGTGGCCGAGCGAGGAAGAAAAATGTAGGAGTATCAAACAAGACCACGACCATAGACAAGTCTCTTGACCTCTGATGAGTCTTCACCAACCGCATTGAAAGTGAGATTGTGAATCCTTGCATTGCCTCGCCCATCAAAATACTGTTCGTCCGAACAAGTATCGAAAATCTGCAGCCGCGGGCCTTTTGTCGGCGGGGTCAGCTCCCGTTTGCCTTCGCTATTTTGGGGCATGTTCGTTGCTCATGCTCCATGTGTCTTCTAAGAGTTAAACCCACGGCAAAATGATTTGGGATGACGACCGAGATATTCAGAATACACGTCGTGTGATGAGATGCCTTTCGCGTAATGAGAGAAAGGAAAAGGAGGCTTGACGTATAGCAAAATGGACTGAGGCACGAATATCACACACTTGGCGGTGAATATTCTACGCACGTTGAATCGTGTCCTACCCTCCGTGATGCCAAATATAATTCGACATCCTGGGCCACTCTTTAGTGGTCGGCGTTGAAGTCTAGACCGCTTCTCAAGGGACCGGAACCCGGAAGCCTGATGGGCTTTCGGGAGTCACCAAGTCCCCGCCCTGCGTCCCCACAACCCCGCAACTACTGGGACAACTTGGGCCGAGGTTTTTGAATCATGTCAACTTCAGCTTGCTATTGTCACCCAGCATTCCATGGGTAGCTGCATGTCCCGATGGACGTCAAATGACTGCCATGGGTCCCAATTCTGCGGACTCGGATGGAGCCATTCCTGCTGTCGACCTGCCATCCTGCGAGGGTTGCCGACGGCGCAAGCTGAAGTGCACCCGCCAGAGACCGCTTTGCTCGAACTGCGAACGGCTTGGTGAGCAGATCTGAAATACGACCTTTGACAGAACAAAGTCAATGCTAACAGAGTTAGAGATTGACTGTATTTATGAGAATAGGCGAAATAAACCGGGGTTAAAGGGTGGCGCCGTCGAAAGTCTCAATAGAAGACTTGGTAAGCAAGACGCGTCTCTTACGTGACCGTGCAGATGCTCATGTTTTGATCCAGAGGCGGTGGAAAACGCTGTCTTCAGCAACAGCGAGATACCAACTGCTACAACTGATGGTCCTGTGGATAGTCAGACGTCGTCGATCGTAGGAGTTCTCTCTACTCTTGCGACTGAGATCAACAAGCTGAATTCCACAATTGGAGCGAGTCTTGTGTCACATTTGAGCTCTTCCGAAAGTGGACCACAACCAAGCGTTGGAGGAAACACTCACAATGACCAAGAGTCTTTTCGACCGAATAAGCGACCAAGATATGAGGAACAGCGTCATGCTCACATACAGTCACCAGTCCTAGGGCACGAAGACCCAACGCTTGGTTTTCCTTGCCAGCTTTCAGAGCTACTCGATGCATACTTCACCCGAGTTCAGCCATGGATTCCACTGTTGCAAGAAGCAGGCTTCCGGAAAAGATTGCTGACGTCCGACAAGACGACTGCATCTGTCATCTTGCACGCAATGTTGGTTGCGGCGTCACGGTTTATTGGGAAAAGGGACCATGCACCAAGCGAACTCAAATCGCAAGCTCAAAGATCACGAAACCTTGTGATCGCAACCTCAATGAACGCCCCCAATGTTGAGAGCCTGCAAGCATTGGCAATTGTCGCCTTTTCTGATGTAAGTAGGCACCTCGAAGCTAGCCATCTAGCCACTCGCCCTAAGATTTATGAACCCCGATAGATTGGCAATGGAGAGTGTGAAAAAGCCTGGCCTATCATTGGTTCGATCTCCAGATCAGTTCAATACCTGCAGCTCAGTTATGAGGATGCAGACCGGCAAAGGCGTTCATCATTTATCCGCCCTTCGCCACATCTTACGGGGCCGAGAAATTGGGTCGAAGAGGAAGAGCGACGCAGGGTATTCTGGAACATATTTATCTTGGACAGGTCAGTTAACAGTTCGGCGCGTTCTCAAGCCATCCAGAACTAATTCATCGCCCGTGAAATAGGTTCTGTTCAATGACTACTGGGTAAGTAAAATTGTACCCGCAGCGTCTCGCATCACGAATTGCTGACTCTAATGGACGACGAAAGATGCAATGCCAGTCTGACAGCAGTTGATGTTTGTCGAAGGCTACCTGTTTGTGGTGGTCGGTGGTATGCCGAGACGCCGGCGATGACTCCGTACTTGGGCATATGGGATCGTTCTTCAGCCAAGATTGGCAACTCCATTACGTTTCTTCCTACCCACCACTCCAGCCCGTCGCAATCAAACACTGTAGATGCTCAAGGTGTTACAAACCTGGCACGCCCTGAGACCCGAGGAGTTGGCGCATCACCTCCCGTTGATATGTCGAGTATCGGGGCTTTCGCCTACTACATCGAATCCATCGAGTCACTAAGTCGGATCAACACCTACTTTCTGCAGGAGAAGGTCAATTTCAGTGACAGAAAAGAGGTTTCGGACTGGCTGACACGATTCAAAGAACTGGATCTACGCTTAGTTCAGTAAGTAATGATTCGCATCCTAACGTAGCTTTTAGATTGACAGCAGTATGTAGCTGGAAGATGTTCCTGCCTCAGCAGTGGAAGGATTCTGGGATATCGCGTAAAGAAATGCCAGGTGTCATGGATCCTAACATGACTTTGGCCCACATTACTCATAACACTTCCATGATTCTATTACACCAACGAATCGCTTACCCAGCATACGAGCTGTGTAGTATCAAGCTGCCGAGTAGCTACAGCGCCGAAACCTGCCTCGGAGCTGCTGTCGAGAACGCGAATATAGTGAGGAAGTATCTCGCTGGGTCGCCAGCTGAAGCAATAGTCTCTCCCCATATGTCTTTCTGCTGCTTTATTAGTGCAAAGATTCTTCTGGGTATGTTTTGACTTCCTTCCCCGGAGCCTACTCTTCTTACTCAAATGGGATCAACAGTTCACTCCAGGAGATATGAAAGAGGCTTATCAAGTAGCTTTTGGGCTCTTATGGACAGCCTGGAAGAGATGAGTCGACGTTGGTCAGGAGACTTCAGGTCGGCGGTATCTGATGGAGGCTCGTTGTTCTCCCAATTCGCAACTCGTCTTCGCAAACTTCACGATCTATGCGAGGGTAATACTCATTTCCGTTTAGAACTACTTGAATATGCCGACGAGATCATCGACGAGGAGATTTGGGCCCAGGCATCGACTAAACAGGCAGACAAACCATCTCAAATTGGAGGGAATATCTCTCAAAGCTCGGTTACACCAGTTATGTGCGACATTTCATCTGTTGAATCGACCGGCGACGAGCTCTCGGCGATATCCAGGGTGTTGATGGATGAAGGGTTTGCTGAAATGGATCGCATCATGAGCTACGATGATATCATGTTCAACACACGACTTGAGGATTTTGATGCAGGCTCGTCGGATATGTGGCTCATCCAGGAAAGCGATAGCGGTGATCAGGCAGGCTTGTGAACGCACCACTATGGACCCAAAACCACACCTTCTTTCCGTCTCAGATCAAGCAAATCAATACCTTTAACTTGCCTACAATGATATGAAGTCCTCTGAGATTTGGGTTTGGTCAGGTGTGTCCATGAGACGGATGCTTGGCTGGTCTGCCCATCGTTGCTTCAGACTCCTTGCCTGACCACTTCGAACTAGATATGCGTTGCTTGAGATAGCAAAGACTTTGGTGACAATGACTACATCATCAGTCTGGCCCAGACTTATGATATTGCTTTCTATCATGGGGATAAGAGAGCGCTGGGTCATGATGTTGGTGTTAGCCTCTGGCTTTAATGGTGAAAATTTGGTCGACATTGGTGCGCTTGAGATTACATCGGCACTGATTCCAGATGCACCTGATTCGCCCAGAATCAGGAGCGAGTTGGCGCCGATGATAATCATTTCTTCTTGGCCGAGCTCGCAGGTGTCATCAAAGTCATCATCAGCCATCTCAAGCAGATTACGGGTGTTTCGTTGTTGACGGCTATTGATGGCGAAACCGCCTTCTGCTGTGAACAGCCTACTGAGAGGTCCAGCTGCTTTGATGTGATGAACTCTTACATGCCAGTCCGGCCAGCGATAAGTCGGGGGGAGAAGGGTCGTTGTCACAGTCACACTGCGATCAGCCCATAGAAACCATTCAACAGTAGCCAAGACGACCTCTTCGTTTGCTTTCCCGTGTACTACGGCCGTCCTATATGTTATGTCGCCGCACTTATATTTCCCAGCCTATATTTAGGCTTCAAACTATCTATAGATACCTATATAGGTATATACCTATATAGTCTATAGGTTATAGAGGGGTACCTAAGTAGGTACTAAGTAGGTATAAGTATTAGGTAAGATTTTAATATTTAGGTACTAGGTATATAAGTATAATAAGGATTATAATTTAGGTTCTAAATAAAAGTTTATTTAATAAATATAATATATTAAAATAAGTTTAGAGAGGAGTTAAAATTTAAATTAAAGTATCTAAACTATATAGGAGATAAATTAAACTATTCTACTATATTATTAATTTCTAATAAGGGAAATTTATTATAATCTATTTTATTTATAGTCTTTTAATTACTTAATTACTTTTTTATTTTCTAACTTAATAATAGAGGGGAATATCTATAAATTTATAAACTTTATTATAATATATTTAAGTTTAAGAGTAATAGCTAC